CCTGGAGCCAGTATGGACGTGGTAGTGGGTAATAGACAGGTAGGCACCTTGTCAACATGCACATCAAGCGCAGCCACACCGGAGAATTCAAGCAACAGCCAATCACTTGAAACGACAAGATGAAATAAAATAAATCGAATAATGTATAGAGATACGGTGGTATATCTCTTCGCTAAATTACCATATGAAGTAAGTTGGTTAGTAACGAATCCGCGATAAGTAAAAACTGTCCACAAGTTACTTAAAAATGCTACAAAACGCAACAAAGTTACCGAAGATAAGCGCAGTCAGCGTAAGCAACGTGGCCAGTTAATCGAAGATTATTCAGGTAGGCAGAACAAAGCAAATAAAGTGGAATGAAATTTATCCAGCTTAAAAAGACCTAGTTTAAGAGTACTTTGGTTTAGCCCAACTACAGTGAAGAAGCATCAAGAATGCAACATCAGCCTCAGGTCACTTAATATGCACAACGCTCATTTTTTGCATTGAAGGCAGTGGTTAGTAGAAACCTTCTTGTAAATCATTCACCTCCTCACTGTAGAGTAGGGGCCCATCAAATAGCAACATTGAGAAGGTGATCCATCGTCAAACTTCGCCACATATTGCAGCTGTTACTACAAAAGAAATCGTGCAAGGTAAATCAGGTGAATCTACTCATCCACTTCGCAATCTACTGGCGACTGCATCACGTTGATGTGTCTCCTCAGCGCAAGTCGGTATAATAATTAACGTGCTTAAGTACGATATAAACGTATGTTTGCCTATGGCCCAAATAAGACCGAAGCAAATCAGTGCCAAAAGCACACTGTCCAAAGCAGCAGCGGTAATACGCATAACTAGCTGCCAAAGTATTTTACACCTAACTGAATTGCATTCCACGGCGTTTTTAAAGCGCCCACTATACATATTGATAGTGCTTTACTCTCAAACAAGATGTAGCATTTCAAACATTAAGACAGCTCCCAATGTCGATTAGTGATATGGTTTACTTGCTCCCAGTATAATAAACAGCAACCCCTTTTGTGTTTGGCTGGACCCAAATGACGGTGCTTGGAACCAGACCGTTTAATGCGATGATGAATGTGAGCAATACCTGACAGCTATCAAGTTGATACTTTGCCTTAGGTGGCAGACAAGTTAGTTACAAAAGATGTAAAAATGCCCTAATCTGTGATAAAATGAGCGATTACACATCTGGCTTCAATAGCACCAAGTTAACTACTCCTACTTCACCGACTAAGGAAAGCACTGAAATTCGAAATAAAGGCAATCCATTTCGTTGGCAGGACCAATGCTTATAGAGAATGTATACATATATATATTTGAAAAAGTCTGCTAACAGACATAATGCCATCAGAAACCATGGGATTCAAACGAACGTACAGAAACATTAAAATAAAACACAACACAACAATGTCCATGGTTTCCTCAGAGTGCGAGATACTACCCGGTTGCCCAAGCCGAAGTAGGGTGTTGACTTAGGGGACACCACCCCGATCCTTTGGCTGAATAGCCTGCCCGCAAGGCAGCGGAGCGAATTCAGGGAATCGCGCCCATTGGGAGCCGGTGACTGATTGCTCAATTCATACGCCTTTCGTCTGTTCCTTTGTCAAACAGGGGCCCAATGCTCCCCAAAAGTACAGCATAAACTTGCTGGAATACAATGCTTCGCCAGGATGATGCAAGGGGCAGTGACTTTATTTAGTGGCGAGTCACGTCCGCCACGTCACAGTGTTGTTAAACGGACATATGTGGCTTTTTATAGGGAGAACGTTTGCCAGGCGAAAACCCACCACGTCCTGGAACACTGCCGCCGAACCATTTGCTGGAACGGGAAAATCCCGAACCACGCAGCTGGCACCACGAGGAGGTTGTTCGGCAAGCCAGCCGAACGTATACATAGATTACGTGGTATCTTATCTGGGCTTACATGACATCGTTTTGGACTTTGTTGAGATTGGGGAATTAATGCTTACAATGGATGCAACCGATTTTGCCGCGCGCGTCGTATCAGCATTGCGCAACATTTACATGCTTTCACCCACACCGTGAGATTTTAGCCAGGTTTACATTCAGTCACCAAGTTGTCGACACTCATTGTTTACACGTCGTGCCGATAATCATGGAGACCTGCATGTAATAATCAGACAAAAAATAGCCTGTAGTCAGTAAATAGTTTAAAGCAGTTAGTTTCCTTCAACAATTTGAAAAGCACCGGAAGAAGACGAAGGCTGACTGATGCATGCATTTGGTATGGTCTCCTCAGCACCATTAACACTAACCGGTATACATAGATATAAGCAACCGTGATTGCGACCCAACAAGCTTGAGGTGCCCTACGTCCAGTGCAGCTTTAGGCTGTCAATTATTTGTCAACCTGCCAACTTTCGTCTTCTTTCCGTGCTTGTCAGTAATTAATGTCGAAAAAGAGACCTAGTTCATTTCAACTATCTAACGTTTTTTTTCTTTGTTATGCCGCATCGGGGCTTAGAACAAATGTTGTTTGAGTATGCTCATGGCTAAACTTTTCTACATTTCCTGAAACTGCAGTTATGCGCTTCTTACGAACCACCATTTTCCATCTCAACCTGCTTACTTAATAGAACCAAATGAGTGGGTGTAGTACTCACTGTCGTTAGCTTTTAATACATTATGTCACTGGAGTCGATTTAATGTAATGCTCAGAGGCGATGCGTTGCTATGCAAGGAAAGCTAATGGTTCTATTGTTTCAGGGGAGATATTTGCATTGCTAATTAACTAAATTCCTCGAAGCAGCAATCCAAATACTGGTGCTAAGCAATGTTCTAGGCGTGTGTTGCGAATCATTTGCGTAATATCTGGGCCATCGCTATTTGGCTATCACTAGTCAAGTGATTCGCAAGATGGTTTAGGAAAATACCTCCCATGGACATTATCCTCTTGCTATAGGTACTCAAAACAGGATCTTTCAAAGTAATTATGGTAAGCTGGTTACCATGGAAGGTAACTGTGTCTATACTCAGATGGGCTGTTCTTAAATACAATTGACAGATGGTTCGTTTTCAGTCAAGCAAGAAGTACTGAGGGCAGCGAGTTTTACACCGTAAACTTAAACTCGAAAATAAAGCAAATATTCGGAAGAATGCTCCTCACATATGCCATCATGGAGCGCCTACATTACACTCGTACGCTACTGAAACTTGTGCATGTTTATTAGGATTGCTTTTTTGGTTTTAGCTTGTGATGTAAGTCCTTATCCTCTTAGCAAAATTTTAGGATCATCTTTAGCCAGTAATACGCCTTTGTTCGAGTCCGCGTTTTCATAGAATGAAACACTTTACAATTTATTTCATCGCTTTGGTAAATGTATGTAGTTATACTGTTGCCAGCGCTAAGCGTACTAGATGAGAACACCGTGTTCGAATAAACTATCCATTCTATCTTGTCATAATACTGGCGGCCATTCAGATTGGGCATATATGAGAGGGTAGCTGACATAAAAAAATTCTATCGATCAAAAGATTGTTATATTGTCCAGACGCCTTCCTTGTGTAAGTTAAATAATTTTGGATCTGAAATACCTGCTACTTTTCTGCTTAAAAGAAGTCAAATACAGTAAATCCTACACCATGGTGCAGTCACATGATGGACCAGTAATTGTCCACAACTACGCATGTACTTCAGCAAAAGAATATGCAAGTAGCACGCTTGACGCGCTTATATATTAGCCCGTAGCGTAACAATAATTTTACACTTACAAAGTTTCAAGTACAGTTAAATCTTGAAGCTGTATTTTGTGTGTTATCCAGAAGGATTTTATCATACAAACTGAAAGTACCCAAACAACAGCTTACAAACGTAATCATAGCTCCGGGGGCTGGTCCTGTTATATGCATCTTCATAACCTACGTGAGATTGGAGCATAAAGCACGCTTTATGGCAGTTAGAATCCAGTCATGATGGTCCACAGCCGTCACCCATGGTTCAGTGTGATAGGTCGGTGCCTCGTGAGAGTAATGCAATGAGTTCTTACCCAGTGGGATCCGGCGGGTGCGCGCTACTGAATAGTACTCATAAGGCGAAACAGCCGTTTAGCGCTTTCCCGCATGTGTGAACGCTGTCCGGCTGAGTCTAGCTATGACAAATCACAAAAACAAAAGAAATCGCACTACCACACTCTGGTATACAACCAATTTTCTTATCATACAATGATCACAGGCGATTTTCACAAAACCATGTGAACTAACTAGTGTGATCTACCGATTTTAGTACGAAAAATAAAGCCTATTATAGTGAAGTATAAACCGGTGTTGATACCCTTTTAACCAGTCGACTTACATTTGATGAAACCGAGGAGCACTGAATTTATTACCGGGGAAAAGTAAACAATTTAACCAATCCATATGGTTCAACGAGTAAAACACATAAACAAGCGTGTCGGAAAATATTTTCGGTTGGTGGACTACCAGTAAGTTTTATTTGTACAGAAAAATTGGTTACTGTAGCTTATAGCCCAGTGACCTTGTAGTATTGAGATGACATCCTCCTGCAGATTGGTTCTCCTAGATGTTTAAGAAAAGTTCAGTAAAAGAAATACATATTATTCCAAATGTCCGGTTTCCGGTTGTCGTGGAACTCCCTTTACACTAAATCCCATTGAAATTAATTTTCTGAAACCCGCTGGTGAAATACACATCCCTCAGCAGCCAATGAATTTGCCTATTTTCCAGTGGTAATCCACTTGTTGAGAAGTTGGCGAGCCGGCAGTTCTCATGCCTGCTGTCAGAATAACATTTGTGCTTTTTTTCGTAATGTCTGACAAACGGTAAAAGTCTGATCAAGAGTTCGAGCGATGTACACAAACCAGCCATTTTCTTTGTGTCGCAGTTATCTGGCCATGCGAAAATGGTGTGTGTATTCTTTTTGCCTTCCTGGATGAAAAAGATTTGCCGAATTTTATAATATAAATAGTGTTATCACCTCAAAACAATTGTTTAAACACCAACTTTGCTTTTCACAGGTTACAGCGTGCAATCTCATTGAGAGAGTGAGTTGTCGTATATTCTTTCTGTATTAAATATGGTATACATGTTCTAGCTGCGCCTCTGATCTTGGAATGTTTTCTATAAGTTTATATCTATGCACAAATTGAGTGAAACTAGGTGTAACCTACCTTTGAGCAATTGTTTCCTTATTACTTTGCTTCACTCCGTTTGTTGGTTCTCTTTATGTCCCATCGATGCACCAAATTCTCCCCTGTTCAATGCTTGAGACTAACAACACCGGATTGGTTCACCGGCGCCATCCCAACTGTCTGCATAAGTAAAACATGTCCAACTGATCTTGATACATTTGAACTGATTTGCAATAGTTCAATCCATGGTTTTTTCACATGCTGGAACATGCTAACTCCGTGAGTAGGGTTGGATGAACAGTAGCATTCATGCATGTGACCGGGTAACTTTTATCGGAAGTAGAGAATTCTGTTTACATTTGGGAAGTAAAGCGGAGTTTCCGTGAAATAAAAACGCAGCTTCACTAAGACTAGCGGTAGCCAGTCTGTGTGCAAACGTTTTTGGAAAAAGTTATATTATTTAAGCAGTAACATCAAGCATGCGTGACCGCAGTTAGTAAGCCACAATCAGCATTATCAATCTTTTAATGACCTTTTCAATCTTCCATATCCTTGCTGCACCAGGTCAAAGCCATAATATCACACGTTCCAGATGTTGTATCGCTGAGCCATCCAAGCTTTTTTCTCTCACTTCTCTGACAAATTCCGACGGCCGCTTAGTACTGGAATCAGCGTTGCACAGGGATAAAATATACAGCCCAGCCGGTGCTCCAAGATGGAAGACTTCTTTCCTACCGTGAGATATGTATCCACCACATAGTGTGCGGTCGTAGATGACAGCACGCGGTAAATGCAAAACGGATACCCTCAGTATAGGTCAATCATCAACTTGTTTGGCAACTGAAGTATTGTAGTAAATAGCCTTAACACTTATTATTTTCAATCTAGTAAGCGAAATAAATGCTGGCTTCATCTTCACACTGAACCCACATTCCGTAAGTCAGCTAACCGGCTTAATCTTGGTAACTTACTGACTCACTTGGACGTCATATGCTATGGGCTGAAGGCGCCCACATTTTACCGCAGTTTGCAATAAGTGGATACTAGTATACGTCATTCAAGAACCACTGTATGCAACTGATGTTTATTTGAACATTTTAGCTAAATTGGACAGTTTTTATCTACATGGTACTTGCCAGATTGAAGAGGCTAACTAACTAACAAGATACGTTACATAGTCAAGCACTTATCTACATGGCTCTTATTGTTTATACGCCTGGAACTTTCCGTCATTTTTTAAAATTTTTACTGCAGTGATTATATCATTTGGCATTATACAATGTTAGGCGTCAGGAATGTGTTGATATCTTTGATGCGACGGGACAGTCTGAATGTTTGCGATCGATTGCGGCCATCTAGTTATCGAAAACTCAGATGCAAATATACCAGCCGAGTTTGGCAATTGGGCTGCAAGCATTTCGTCCCTACATGATATGATATCATCAGTACATACCGAAAGCTAGCGAATTTGAATTAGTGCTGGTTTTGATCCGATCCCCAAATACAGGGGTAACCGCAATGTTACCTAACAGCCAACTTTGATTCCTGCCTTTATGTGAGACCTCGAGTATTTGGAGCTTGTACAAGTGCGGGGATGCTGCTCAGTAACGATAGCCACGTCACTGGCTCTTTATTTATGGCAATTTTCTTGTTGCCCCAAGTAGTACCGTAATTCGGCAACATTTTAGTTTTCACTGCTCCTATACAACCATTGACACTCATTAAAGAGACTGTTTTCATTTGAATCTGAATTAGTATCTTCTCCCTAACATCAGTCATCCCAAGTAAAAACGTTAGTATCTTCTCTTTGCGCAATAAACCTTAAGCTATAAATAGCAATTCAATGTTCAAGTGATTACCTATTCTGAATCGTCTGTATTAAGCGCGTGTTTATCTAAGGCACAGGAATTACTCTTTAATCACTAATAATTGTGATTGGCAGCGTTTTACTGGTGTAGTTACGAGCGACTTTCGTCAAAAAAGATTTCCACCCGGAACTTATTGCGGATACCTCTAGCTCTGGAGGTACAGAACAACGCAACAACCACCGGTTGTCATGTTCTTCAGTCATGAGTAGATTTGTTTACAATCGTTAATACTGCGGAAACCATTTCAAAAGATCTGATGTCTCAGTATTGCTTTTAACTTCACGAGTAAAGTTCTTTTTCAGCTGTCAGCTGCAAGTGGGCATAACACAAATGTTGTTCAACTTTAGCGCTGCCGTGGCCCGTATTCTACTTAAGTAGCATCCCAGCTTGCTTTTTATAAATGCCACACATAACGGCTCCTTGCACAAGTCAGCATCATCATCAACAACAACAACAAAAACAAAAACAACAACCATTACTACTACTACTACTACTACTACTACTACTATTACCACCACAGTACTACATTGGTACAACCACAGGAGCTACAGAATGAAGACTAATAAGGTGGACAGAAGGGGACCTGGCGGACGGCTTAAATGTCCTAGGTAGACATTCAGGGTCTGGGCGACTACACATTGTCAACAACCCATCGTCACAAACAGCCAGTTGCATTAGAAAGCACCATCATCATCAACATCAAGTGCAGTACATCAGCCATTTGAACTGACGCTTTGCTGCCATACGACCATAACAACCTAGGGAACGAAGAATACAAAGAGGCAGAGAACGGGGATTTACTGGAAAACTCTAATGCTTTAAGCAACCATTCCGGGTCAAGGCGGCCACAACTTGTCAAAAACATGCCAACATAAACAGCTGGCTATCGTGCAAAAATAAGGTGGAATGAGTGATGCAGCTTCTTTGCGGCTATCACCGCCCCGCGTCACAATCAAGCATTACCTTACAGTTAACTCAGCATCAAACACATTTCGAACAGACAGTCCGGCTAGGAGACGACAATAGATAGGCCACTGGTGTCGACTGCGGGCGATGTCCTATGACTTCACAGGCCAAGCATAGTTCTGGTCGCGTGGACTCCAGCTTGGAAGGAACGATAGACCATCAGCAGTTGGTTTGGTCGTCATGACTTCATTTCACGCCGCCAAGTCAACTTTTGTCCACCTCGAGGGTCGCGCCAACTTAAATCTCTCAGACAAAACAAGGCCTTCCTAGGCAAACCCAGTACGCGCCCAAGCAAACGCAACCTACTCAGTGCTGTCTGTTGTTCTAAGTAACAAGCTTGAGTGTCATTGCCTAGCAGTCTCCTACGCCCTTCATCGTCGCGGACACGTTGGTGCCACCCGACACCAGCAATGCTCCGCAGGCAGCGATGATCAAAGACCTGAAGGCGCCTCAGGTCCTCATATCACAGGGCTCAAGTCTCACTCCCATAGAATAGCACGGCCCTCTCCGTGGCCTTGTAAACATGAACTTTCAAACAGATGGAAACTCCTTTCTGCTACCAAAGATGTCGTAGGTTTTGCAATAGGTGAACTGATTTCAGTTGCCATGCCATAATCTTTGCTGATTCACCTGCCAAGGTAAGTGAACTGTTCAGCTTCCTCGAGCTTTTGCTATCTGGGGTCAAGGGATCATCAAGTGACTGGAGGTCCTGCAGCAACATTTGACACTTTGAAGGTGTGAAGCACATGCAAATAATGGGATCACTCTAATGAGGTTATTCCGGGTTGATTGCGCCGTCCAAACCTCGACAAAAACAGGACGATATCGTCCGCATAATCAAGAGCAACTAGCCTTTCACCAGGCAGCAAGTCAAAGCCTGTATCGTGAGAATCCGCAAGGGAACACTCTATGATGGAGTCCACAACGAAATTGAACAAAAATGGGGAAATCGGACAACCCTGACGAATACCACTTGTGGTCGGAAAGTTATCCGAGTATAGAGCACGTCAGTGTTCACATATTTCATTCGGACACATTTCCACACAAATATTTCGAACAGAATTGTTCGATCGACTAAATCGAATACACGCCTGAACCCGAGGAACACAAGGATTATCGGCCTGCGGTATGCGTGGCGCTGCTATAACACCTGACGCAGAGTGAACATGTGGTCTATACAGCCACCTCCAGGGCGGAAACCTGCATGCTTTTCCCTGTTCCGGGATTCCCTTTCTGCAGTGAGGCGACGAATGAAAATTGAGACCAGTACTTTTGTCACTACGGGCGTTAGGGTAATACCCCTGTGGTTAGCACAGTCTGTGCGACTGCGCTTCTTGTACTTTGCCACTATAATCGCTTCACTCCAGTTAGCCGGGACGGTCTCCACCTTCCATATGTCTTCGGACAAAATATCAGTGCTTTACAGTGGACCTCACCTCCATCCATAAATAGTGCAGGTGCAAGGGAATCTCGCCCAACAGCATGAAAACGGTTGATGGCTGTGATCGCGTTTCGGACTTCAACCTCCATTGGATCCTCTAAACTAACCCTACATGTCTCAGCCTGCGTCACCAGAGTAGGAGGAAGTCTTGAAACAGGTAGACAACTGAACTGATCTTGAGAATGTTCTACGGAGCGAGTCCTACGGCCCTCCTTATTAGGAATCATGGCAAGTGCACCATCTCTGATTGTTTTCCTGACGTCTGGTTTCCTTATACCAGTGGTGCGGGTCAGTTGGAAGAGCTTGCGAAAATCCGCAGCTGCTTCCGCCTCCTCCGTTTTTGGAGCCCTGCTAGTCCACCATGCTTCCTTGTCAGCGCGCAGGCTACGCATTAGTTTGCTTCCAATAGTGCGTTTGGGCACATTGTACACAGAGCCGGCCGGGAGTTTTCTTCTGAATTCCAACAGGTTCACCTACCTCTCGGACTGATATTGCCACAAACAGATGCTCCTGCGCTCTGCATGGTGACCGAGATCCTATTCCACTGCAGCTCAGTGTCAATTCGATAAGGGAGCACGAATTTGGTACGCAGCACATCTTGGTAGGTTTGTCTGACCGAGGCCTGAGACAATTTCTCA